GCATGGCAAGGACCAGGCTCAGCTAGAAGCTGTTTGCATCTCTTATCTCTGCAGGGCATCACACGCACTGTTATTGTTCATAAACCTGGAATTAACCTATTTGAATACTCTTCTGGATGTTCTTTCTTCGCTCCCCTCAATTTCCCTAACCAAGAGTCTTTTGCAAGTAATAATGAACAAAAGAAACCCTTCAAGTGTTGGCTTAATCTGGAAGTCTAGCGGCACTACTCTGGCAAACAAAGGAGTTTTGTCCTCCAAAATGACACTTTTTGGTTGAGATAATGTTTTGCATATTTCTCTGAGGCGCTTCACATGTTTAACATCTATTTATTAACTTACGCTCGCATTTCCCTGGGAGCTCCTCAAGTACACAGCATTCCCCTACAGATGAAGTCACTGAGTTTCAAAGAGATGAAGATCCAAATTTTCAAAAGCACAGAAACATTTGCGTGCTTTGTTCTTTCACTGCCTGGCTAAAGCAAAGCCCAAGCACCAGTCTCCATACGTTGAATCGGTATCAGCTGCAAATGCCAGGTGCTGCTGGAAATCAGCACCCAGCAGCAAATGAACTTGTAATAGAGAATCGATCCATTGGAATTGCATTTTCAAGGGAAAATGTCTTACTGAAAGTGTGTGGCCAGCCAATGTTTGAGCATGGCCAAGGCAGAAGGAAGGTTATCCTAGCACATTTTAGGCTTCTTGTGATGTTCCAGACCACTCCAGCCTTATTCCTAAATAATGATCTAACTAGAACGACCGGTCATCACAGCCCTGCTCAGATCTTTCCCGTTACTCTGTCAGAGGATAAAATAGCACGAGGAGCTCTTTGTTTACAAAGCACTATTGCTGAGGCAATTACATGTGAAATAAGTGTCCCAGTATTGCTGTTGTACACATTTCCCGTAGTTTTAGAGCAGATATCTCTGAAAAAATCTTCTGTCCTTCCGCACAGTGAACAAATACTGCATTCAAGCCTTCCTTCACGCTACAAGTCCCTGTATGCATTCATAAATAAGGTGTGATTTTATGACCAATCATCCAGGCTCCTTGGTGTTGTCCTAACTGGGAATATTTTGTATAATAGGCGCGATGATGGCCAAGCAGTTCCCCCGTCCTGGCCTTTCCAACCCTGTGCTCCCTCATGCTGGCTACAGAAGCTGCATGTGCAATAGCTTGAATCCCTTGATAAACTCACAACATCAAGAGACATCAAAGATGTTCAGCCCTGTTCATCGGCAAGTCTTAATTGATATCTTGAGCAAGGCTAGAGGACCGCTAAGATTAATCTATACAGTGACCTACTCATCAGCTGCACTCAAGAACTTCCACGTATTTTACAGGAGGAATTTGTTTAAGGTATGCTCTTATCTGAGAGAATTCGTAAAGCTTAAGAGATGACATATATATTTTTAAAAGCTCCCTGATTTTATATGAACACTTGAGATACGGTAATCTGTGAATTTATTCAGATTTGTAGCTCAGCATAAAGCTGTCTGGTTTTTGGACAGCCCTTTTGATTTACCATCCTGTGGTGAAATTGCTGCAGGAATCTGGAGAAGGTCCAATTCTATTTGTTTAAAGTCCTGATCATGTGGCTTTGGCATTCCTAACATATCCAGCAATCATTTGCTTTTAATTACCATTCATTTCAACCACATAAGTAATGAATATGGCTACCACATCCAACTTACTTACAGACTGTGTAAACTCTTGAGCTGGGTGGAACTTTCTTCTATATAGAGGCTTAACTATAAATTTGACTCAAAATGTGAATCCTCTTAACTTATTTTAGGCAGGCCTTTATAAGTTTAAAATAAAAATAAATAAAAAGGAAATGAAAAAAGCCTTAAATGAAAGATTCCACACAATACACCTGATTCACTTCAGAAGCAATTTCCTGGCCTCCCTAACCTCTTGGTATGACTGTAGAAACCTTAAAAAAACAAGTTGATTTAATGTTTCTATTTATTCATGGTGTCCAGTTTCCAGAGGAGTCTGTGACTTGTAGTTTTAAACTCAATTTAGCATTTAAACTCATTTTCAGCTGGGTCCCAGTGGAGCAACAATTAGAAAAGGAAAAGAGTTCAAAGAAGAAGGGTTATAACCTTTCAGCGGTATGTTTGCCTGGACTTTAAAAAAAAAAAAAAAGCATCTCTCTTACTATTCTTCCTACATTTGGCGAACACTAGGTCAGACGGCCGGGTTGCAAACCTGTTGGTGTAGAGAACTTCACGTTTAGGTACAAACCAACACCCAGAAGTCCTTCATGGCAGCTGAGGCAAAGGTTCACTTTTTAGGGGTACTGTTATTTGTACCATGCTGAAAGCCTAGTATCAGCAGGCCCAACTTCTCTTGAGAAAAAAGAAATCTCACAGAAAATCTGAGCAAGAGGAACCTACCAAAAAACACTAAGAGAAGCTGCGCTGTTGCACACTTCAAACTTGTGTTAAACCTATGCATCTTTTGCTCTTGAAGGCTCCAGCTGAGACTGGCGTCCCAGCAATCCACATGCTGTATATATACATTGTGGGAGCCAAGCCGGCCTTGCAGGCAACGGCCAGAGGAAAAACAGAGGTATCGTAACTCTCCAGAAGTCAAAACTGGCCAAACTGGGAGTCGAGCAGTGGCCTGCAAGTCAGGACCTGGGGCCCCCATTTATTAAACTACAGCAGTTTCACCATGGAGAGCTGGAATCTGTACCTGTTTTGGGGTACTCAGAATTAACCTATGCTTTCTATAGTAACAGCACTTTCTGTAGCCAATAGTACTCTTATGAATGGGCTTCCACTGTCATAAATTCAGCCTCTGCCAAGACCTGGCTACCAAAAATCTTATTTGGAAGCACTGTACTTCGTGAATACCAACGGATAACTAGTTGGCTTGTTTGCTTTTCCCCTCCCCCAGTTCTTCTAAATATATGATATGGAAGCCTGCCCTGGGAGCCGCACCGCAGGCTCTTCCCGATCGGAGCGCACAGGTACCCCCGGGCAGGACCTGCCCATCCGGACACGTGGGACTGTGGGATAACGGCGTGCAGGGTGACCCAGGCAGGCAGGCTGGAGCTGCTCTTACCTTCCACATAGAGATGTCACCCACTCAGGTCAGAATGGATGGGATCAGCCCTGAAATAATGGACTTTGTGAATGTAAATGAGAGTTTTCAGTGCTCTCACAGTTTATTTAGCTAACCCGGCTCAAGAAAGAGACCTCTTATGCGAGATTTGATCCCTTAAATTTAAGCATTATATTTTAGAGGCATTATATTTTAGAGGGAAAAAGTGATGCTACAGTAGCAGAAGAGACAGGCAGGAAGATCGTTACCGTATGTCCTAAAATTACAGCAGACCCGGACAAAAGTCTTATTTTTATAAAGCTGGTTGACAGTACACCTGATCATTCTGACTGTAATGAAATTACTACGTTTACTAAGCATTTACTGTATTATCTGTCAGCCCATAATAAGACAACTAGATTTGACCAGAAAAAATAATCAGCTAGGGTGAAATAAATCAAGATTTTGTCTCTGTTTCATGTGGTCAGAAAAAGATCTACCATATTTTCTAGAACTGATACAAGAGATAGCTGGTGTCAGATAATTTGTACCTACAGATCCTGTAAGGAGAAGATTTAGGAAAGAACCCTCACTCCCAAATAAGCAAAGAAAAAGCCGATGTGCTTGTTTGAATTAACTAAAGAAAAGTAAAATTTTGATGAGGAACGTGCTGTGGTTCATCGGCTGCTGCTGCTGAAACTCTCAATTTTGGGAAGACATGTTTAAAAAGAAAACGTAAATTTGTCCCTGGTCACTTGAAGAGAGCAAAAGAATGACAGAAATGACAGCAGCTTTCATACAGAGACACAGCTGACTGTGGATTAAAATTATGCCTAGGCCAGGCTATTAAAACGATTAAAGGCAGATCACGTAAGGTCCCGAACTATTGAAATCTGATGTTCACAGGAGGCAGACACAACCCAGGGTGGATGGTTTTGAATGGAAGGGAAAGCCAAGGCTTTCTCATCAAAACTCTCCCTTCCCCTGTTGTGTTTCCTGCTATTGCTGATAAGCTGTAGCTCATTTTTGAATCGGTTGCAACGAGGTGATTAAAAATGGTGATAACCCATTAGCTGGAAGTGATGCCATGGCAGCGCCCGGCTGGAGCACACCGACGGCAGCAGCAGCCGGCAATGTGGTTCCAATCGCCGCCTGCCTTTGAAATGTCACCAGGAAAGATGTATAGACAGCCCTCCTGCTACAGGCCATCAGTGTCTACTCTTCCTGTTTGACTTCTATTTAACTTACTACGGGCTGATCAGTTCCCAATGAAGCTGAGGGCACTTTGAGGCCCCTTTGAAAACTGAATTATCAAATGGAATTACAGCCCCATTCAAAATCCACCTGTTTTTCATTTCACTAATGTGTGTGCCTGCGTCTGGATCCATGACCTGCACAGCCCATCAGTTTTTTTCCCTTCATGCTCCCTCTTTCATGTGTCCACCTTCCAATTTCCTCTTTTTCTCTTCAGGTTATGGATCACCCAACTTCCATATGCTGATGCAATTTGATTTCCTCTCTCCTTGGCACTCCTGCAGCTACACGAGCATCCACCGATGCCTGTTTCTCTTGCCCTTTCTCAGTCCTGTATCAAAGTTCCTCTCTTCTCAGCTGCTAGCCTACAGCCGTGGTCCCAGCCAACAACTCCCACCTCTGCATACAAGTCTCTGATTCCATCTTCAGAGTGGCCTTTATTGACCTTAGTTCATCAGACTACTTTTTGCACATTTGATGCAGTCTCATAAACCACAGAAGAGTTACTGTCCTCATGAAATATGCTCTGTGATCTTTTTTTAATTGGCTGCATCACCTGCAAGGCTCCAATCCATCTCTTATTTTAGAAGCACATCTACATTTTAGGTTACACTAGTGCACTGATTCAGAAGAGCTGAATAACACGGGCTTTGTCACTAGTATCTTAAAAAGAGGGCATATATACAGACACCTACCTTGGCATTTTGAAGAGGAGGCTGGTAACTAGAGGGCCGATAGTACCTCCTCTGAGTAGCATCAGTATGAATGTCTCCAAGAAATAGCTCCTCCACAAGGTGGTCCAAATTGTGGTGCAGGTACTGCTTCTCCACACGGATCAGCTGCAGTTCGTGCATGGCAAAATTCAGAGCTTTGGTGCATTCACAGCCATTCTCTTCTCTCAGCAAATCGTAGCTCACATCCTGCTCCCAGGGACTATCTTCTGGTATAAATCCAGGACACGTATGGTTCACCAACTCACTTAATTTTTTGGCTATTGCTTCGTTGTGGCATATGATCTGTATGTTGCGTAGCTGATAATCAGCTTCAGTACCCCCTCGGATGATCCAGGATGCTTGGCGGAGACGTATTTTGCCACGTATAACTAATGTGTAGATAGGGTTTGTGCAGCGATTGCCACCGTAATAAAACTGATAGGCCTTAAACGTATTATTGTGGTAGAACCTGTAAGATCTTGTGATGAACTCTGGGCCTGCTCTGACTTCGCAGCTGTGGGAAGACAGAAAGTGATGGAAACAAAATTTTAGCAAGGTGGCACATCACGTACGCTACGGGTAACAAGACTGAGCAAACCTGCATGGCTCCACAGAGACGCTTGGCTGCTAATGTCCCTCTAGCATGGAGAGAGTAAATAGGAACTAGGCATCTGTGGCCTGCCAATTAACCAACAATTTCCTCTGCTGTTACACTATTATTAATATATTGCTTCATGGTGATCATATCTAACTAAGGGTAGGTTAAAACTTGTAGGTTTAAATACTTTGAGTCATGTTTTTCTTTTCCTTTTTGTCTAGGGACCACCATGGGACTCAATTCTTCTCTGAAAAAAGTAGCAGCTTATTAAACATCTATTCTTCTCTTTTGCATGGTAGATTTAGCAAAAGGACTGATAACATCAGAAAGTGAAATGCCAAACGTCCACAGAACAGTACAAAGAACTGGCTTCTATGCTGCTGTAGAAGCTTCTCAGCGGAGCTCCACCAGCTCTAGTCTGCAGAGGGTGTGCAGGATCGTGTCCTCAGCTTTTCCACTCAAACTTTCAACAGGGGTGGCAGTTAATGCAAACTTCTGATCGTTAATGCAAAAATTCTACTTGGCTTGAATTTGGACCATGCGATATTCAGGTTTTGTGTTTTTTCTTTGGGTTTGTTTTTTTTTTTCCCCTGAAGGTTAAATTCCACTTCCCGTAGAAAGTCCTTTTGTGCCTTCAAACTTGTCCCCCTTGTTACATCCACACTGCTTAACTTAAATACACTCCTTTCTGTTAAAATACCCCAGTCTTTCCTACTACAAGTCTTTCCTACTACTTCAAATAAGCATGTGACTATTGCCTGCTGAGACACAGAAAGCAAAATAGCTCTCTGAATTACAAGTCATCATGTATATATAATAGAACTGGTGAAATACAGCTTCTTAATTTCTTTTGCTAATAAAACCTGTGCTAGACACATGCTCTGAAAACAAGGACCCATTCAATGGATCTAATGCATGTAGTCAAAGACAGTACAATGTTATGTTTGAATAAACATCCATTTTGGCAACTTGGGCTCCTTCCTATTCAAAGAGAGATTTAAAGATATTTCACAGCATGCTGTTTAAAATCCAGACTATAAATTGATTCATCAAGACAGCTTTATAGCATGCTATTCTACTGTACATAACGCCGCTCCTTCTCCTTTTATGCATAAACATATAGAGAGCCTCTGGAATTTAGAGCATCACCATATTAAAGAAAATATTTCCTCTGCTGCTTAAAGTGGGAATATTCATCCTTCCATCTCTACCTCCCTCCCCTCTTCTCTTCCACATATATCACTCAAGCATCTTGTTTTCTCTTTCCTTACCCAGTAGAGACCCAGTGTCCCTCAATATTGGGAGGCATCTGCACAGTGATCCGGGCTCCATTGTGAAGGTGTTTCAGCATATGATGACACTGTGACTCCTTGAAAGCCCTCCATGCACTCTTCTCCAAGGACCGAGGGTGGGACCTGCTGTCCGGGTGAAGAAGAGCAGAACCTTCTCCCAGCCCTGTGATAGAAAAGTGTAAATTACCATGAGACGCTGCTGAGAAGGGCTTCAACACAATAAAGGAGGTTGTGAACATCTTGTGTTGAATGACACTTGTTCGCAACGTTATGTGTCTAGGAAAGTACTGTTTATATTTCTTTTCTCATCTGAAAAAAAAAAAAAAAAAAGGGAAGCTCTTCCTCTCTGTCAGTCCACTAATAATCCACTAAATAAATTTGCTTTACGAAATACACTGGGGAGAAGGGCTTGAACGAAAGTGTTGCGTTTCCACACGCAGGAGATGTGGCTCTGAACCTGAATTTTATAGACACCTCTGTAATCTCTGGTCAGGACAATCAAAAACCTGGACCGTGGAACTTTTAGAAAGTTGCATCCAGATCCAGACATAAACTCTGCGGTTTCAGCCCACCTCTAATTTGAACGCTTCTATAATAAACTTGCAAATAAAGACTACTCTTTAAAGCCAAGGGAAAACAGGTATTAAAAGCAAAGCCTCTGCACACAGGAAGCCTCTGTGATGACTGAGGTGGTCAATTAAAGGCAGATTCTACTATTTTTATTTTAAAGGGGAAAAGGAATTTCAAAAGCTAATTTTATCTCCAGCACACAGTAATTTTGGTTTCTAGTAATGTATACATACAAAACCTACCAGCGCTCTCTCTACGCAATATTAATTGAACAAAATGAATATGTAGCTTCAGAAGGAATGCGTCTTTGCTCTTTTAGGCACAGCCTGCTCTTAGATATTTTGGAAAACACGGATCAAAAGAAAAACACACATCTAGAGGTTAAGAGGTGACAAACATGAACCTTACATAATGGGTTGGAAACTGTATGACTTTGCCAGAAGGAATTTAAGAACCAGCAGGCTAGAAAACGAATACGGGGTGGGGTGGAGGGGCTGGCTGCATGCTCAGGAAGCCGGGCGGCCGTCTCGGGAGAGGGATGTCTCGCTAACACGTGCTCCCAGGGGCAGGGTCTAGGATTCACCCCCGTCTTTTCTGGTGCCCTCTTGGCTGACCCGGCTCAGGAACTGGGCTGTTCGGGATCACCAGTGCGAGGTACAACCCTACACTGCGCCGAGCTGCCTAACGCTGGATCCTACGCTTTCTTCCCCAGGCCCCATCTAACGCTTAGGCACGTGCTTGGGCAGCGCCCAGCATCGCTACAGAAATTACAAGAATATCAGTATTATTTGGTTTTAGGTAGACCTGTTTCAAACCTTTGCCATATCCTATTGCAAAAAAGAAAACGGTGTCATTTTATGTTGGCTAGGTCTTAGATTTTCCGGAAGAAACTTGGGTAACACCTGGGAAAATGTCATTGCTAAAAATATAAATACATGTCAACCATTTAAAAATAGCAATTCCTGAGCTAAACAAAAGCAAGGACTTATCCAGTAGGCAGGGTAAAGAATGATCAGAAAGAATACAATAAATACTTGAATGTAAACAGTGCTCACCACTGAACGATATCAAGATTTAATGAGATTAATGAATACAACCTCACAAAGTCTTTGTGGAAAATCCAGTAGCTTTGTTGCAGGTTACAAATAATTCTTCCACCTGAATGAGAATTTACGGCCTTACTTTCTAAAGGGTAATAAATACTAGGGACGCTTTGATATTTGAGCACGCCGACTGAGATGTCCGTAAAGGAGCCTGATTTTTAGAGGGTCAATACTTCGCCCTTTCTGGAAGTCAAGGCTTCTCAGGTATTTCTACATTGGTGAGCAGAGTCACTCATGTTAGCGCCAAACAACTCCCGTTCTGCAGCCAGAAACGGCACGGCCGCTTCAGAAATGGTACGGCCATGGCAGGGTGACTCTCTGCTGGAGCTGACTACATCCTTGGAGAGGCAGGATTTACTAGACAGGGTCAGCGCTCCACGTGCGCGGCGGTACAGCCTCCTGGGCTGAAGCCAGCATCTCTGCACAGCAGCTCTGTGCTGTGCCCTCTCTGCAGCCCAGCTCACCTGGAGCAGCACTTGACAATCTCAAAAACTGAGGCTTTTTTAGTTTATCTGAAACCTTGTGGGTATGGGGCAGATATCACAGGCTTTCATGCTGCCAGGAGAACAAGTTCAGCCAGGTACGGGTAAGCTTCCCCGTGTATTTATTTTTGTGGTTACGAATCACCGCTAGTGACTGAGAGCTCGCCTTCTAACACCCCTCTCTATCTCTAAGTCTCCACACGCTCAAAAAGCCCACATTACTTCAGCACCTCATTCTGAAATGGAGCCAGCGCTCCTGTCAATGGGCTCAGAGCATCTTTTGGGTCAGAAGCAACACCTCCTGCAAGGTACCCGGTAGAGGCAGTAGCCATCAGTACTTTGAACAGAAACATAGCTGTCAGGATGTCTCCTGCAGACACATTATCTCACACTGAAAAAGTCTTTGAAAATTTACATTTCCACTTGAAGTTTTAAGTGTTTGAAATCTGTCATCAAGAGGAGGTTTTGAAATGGTTCAGGTGACTATTTCCAAGGCATATTTATTACGCTCATTTGCTTTTAAGAAGTTGTATTTTGCCTAGCTCATGTCATATGATTCATGAATACAGACACACTTAAAAATGAATGATTTATTCATTTAAACATACTTGGGCATGTAATTTCTCCAAGCAAAAATCCTTCTGTGGGAGGATACCATCTTGTACGTGCACATATCAAAGGAGAAAATGCAGTAACCACATCATACATTCCCAATTATTCCCTGGAGGAAATAATGAAAAGAAGAGGGTTTTGAAAAGGAGTCAAACTTCATGTGGTATTATACAGTGTCTTTTCTTTGATGTAGCTCAAAAGCAATGGGGTCCCAGCTCTCCCTGTCACATGTACGTAGTTCTGTCTGCAACTTGCAAACGATAAACTGTAACCAGTGGACGGAAGGGAGATTTACATCCATAGCTCTAGAGATCTGTACTTGTGGAGAGGGTACTTGTTCGGGACTCTATCCATCCAACTGTGACAAATGAGGGCAGGAACAAGTTTAGGTAATCAAGGCAGGCATGAGAACATAACGAAGGCTGCAGAGACAGAGGAAGGGATGTAGAAAACACACACATGCCAGGCGACATCACATAAATAGGACGTGAATATCAGAATATGAATTATGGCATAAAATTAAAAGGCAGCAATGGGACCTTTACCTATGTTTGTGTTGCTGGAAATAATTTAGCACAGGCTCCTTCCTTGCCGCGTAATCATTTCAATGCTTTTATATTTACTGACATATGCCTGTACATATGATTACCATACAAAGGAGCCATAACTTCCCCTTGTACCATCTGAAGATCAAACACCAAGACCGGCGATAGGCTTCCCACATAGGGCAGTAAACTGAGCACCGTCCTCCCGTGCTTTTCCACGCAGCAGGAGCTCAGAGGCAGCGCGGCGTCCCCCCGCTCCACCCCTGGCAGCGCACAACGAGGCGTTCTGCGAAACCGAGGTCCTGCAGGGATGACGTCACTAATTATACAGGATCCATTCGGCCATGTTAAATGGGACATCGCTGGAAGGCTCAAGGTTAAAATGTGCTTTCACGAAGCTTTCACCAGGAAAAGAATTTCATGGCTCTTTAAAAGCCCACTTTGGAGCCTAGACGCAGTTGCAACATAGTTGGAGCCACTACTTTCATTCAAAGAGATCCAAGTCTGCTATTCTCTACAGCACAGAGAGATGGTAGGTTCCAGTACCTCCATGACAAGCCGTGTATCTCAGACTCAACTGAGAGTATCTCAGACTCTCTCTGACTGACTTTTAAATTTTTGTGTATTACGAAGGAATCTTACCAAAAAGTTAAAAATAAATAAATAAACAAACAAATAAATAAATAAATAAACAAACCCCACCATGTTATCACTCAAAAGTGTCCCAGACTTCAAACAAAAAACATTCTTTGCATGAGACTAATAGCAATAATTCTGTGAAGCCCCTGGTTGGCTTTCACTTCAGCTACACCACAACCAGAGGTTGTAAGATTGTATCACCCACCCTGTGGTGGCTGTTGATGCAAAGGAGCAAGTCCAAAAGGAAAAGGAAAATTCCAGAATCCAGGAGAAATGCCAGCTAGAGAAACAAAGCAAACCAAATGCATTTTCTGATGAGCTGATACCCAACTTCTCTTTCGTAATCAAGCCCTAGCAGCATAGATCACAGCTTTAGCGTCAAACTAACTGAAAATAGTACCAGACGTGCTAGAGCTAACTGGGGATCCCTGCCCAGGCCCTCACAGATCACACTTGACAGGGGCAGATGCACCACCCATCTGAGTGGGAAAGTGGAGGTCTGCACAGCTGCCGCTCCAGCAAGACGTGGATAGGAGCACGCACTGCACCAGACAGAGGGCTTCAGGCGCTCGGGTTCACCTATGAACCTGTATCTGATGTGGGAACAACCAGTCAAGATAAAAATAATTGTTAAGGGAAGATAGGTTACTTTCAAGTTCTTCAAAGATTTCTGCACATAGCTGCGAGTAAAATACAAATCTTAAAAGGGCAATCTGTTGCCAGCCCGTTACCCAAACGTGTTTCAAAAATGGCTATGACAAAGCTCTCCACCAACATTTCTGCAAAAAACTGCGAGCTGCTGGAATAAACGTTTCGGTTTTCTGAAAAATAGTATGCAAATAACGTACAATTGCAACACAGATAATGCTAAGTAGAGTTGTGCTTGAACACAAATTCTTATAATTTAATTCGTGCCTAAACACCCTGGCCAAATTCTGTTCTCAGCTATGCCAGATTGCAAAAGTATAACACAAACAATCTTAACTCTTAAACTGTTTAGATTTAATCAGTTTAATGAACACCTCTACCAGAATCTAAACCATGGCTTCAAACATGTCCAAGTGTAGCGCTTCAAACCAGACTCAAAGCTACTAGGTGTTCAGC